CGGAATCGATGTTATGGGAAACATGCAAAGGAAAAGTGACTGTGTGGTAATTTTCTTATAGAGCAAAATGTTACAAAATGACGCTGAAGATGTTTGGAAATGTACGCACAGACATATGTTGAACAGGGGCACTTGTTTTATATAACAAGCTGTTTATAGTTTCGTAATGATGCCAACAACATGAGCATTAGCAACACCAAAAGTGGTAAGCTGACATGTAGTGCTTACGTTCGCGAGGACAGCAGCCCAGTTTTTGCTGTGTAAACCAAGTTCAGTGCACGGCACTTAACTACCATTGACGTTAGTCCAACATGATGCCTCTATGATATCAATACATAGATACAGAGTTCGTACAGGTTTCTAAAGAAAAAAATTCAAGGATATTCAAGGACTTTACTGGACCTATTGCAAGTTCTCCAAGGACTCAAAGCGGCATGCTAAGTTGGAATTCTTCAATCTAAAATTTTCAAAAATGACCGCTTTCATTGCACTTATAATATATGGATATCGCAATTATAAAAAAAAGCATAGTCTTAACTTCTCGCACCCTCTCCATAAGGAGGGCACGATGTCATGTCGGAAAGTTACGCGCTGATGGGCTTCCATGAGCATGTCGTCGGGCTTTAAAGGGGTCATGCCACAATATTTGTGGCTTGCGTGCTCTTCGCTGCAAGCTTTAATTATAGCTCCAATAAGTATGATACACACACCAAGATTAATTTATTTTCCCTATATATTATGTCGCCTTTTTGATATGAACAATTTTAAGTTCCTGTTTGTGGGGACCGAGTTGTACAGGTACATAACAATGTAGCTAGCTGATTTAGTCACGTGATCACAAAGCTTTGCACGCGTCATGCTGAGTATTGTCAGCTCTCGCACACATGTGCCACACAAGCACCTGCAAAACAAACTTGCTGCTACCTGCAGCAGCCGCGATGCTTTGCCGGTATGTATGGGGGAGAACTCTGTAAGTCACTCAGCTGACTACAGATCTAGTGTGACATCACTAGAACTTTTGTTGCCTTTTCCTATGGAGTTACGTCAGTGTTGGACGCGCTTGCGATGGGCCTCGATAAGGAGAATTAGCATTTAGGTACACTTGGGAAGTGATTTAAAATATATGCTTAAACCCACAAGGTGCTTGCTATAGCCTTGAAATTTAATGGCACCACCCCATCAAGAGTGCCGGCTTGTGCACAGTTGACACTCGCAGCACGTTGCTCAACAACCAAGTAACAACTGTGACAGTGGTTAATTAATACTCATCCTGTGGATACATGTTTTTTTTCTTTAGAACCATTCTTGGTTTGTTTTAGCAGCACGCTTCCAGGGTCAAGCTATGACAGTCGTTCATCAGCACTTGTCCTGTGCGCTTTCTTTTCATGTGTCCTCCGTGCTTGAGCGACGTGTTGCATGTATGGGGTTGCTTTGCCTTCTTTGCGGGACATTCTGATTTCTTGCAATCACATTCACTGCTTCACCCTCGCCACAAGCTAACTTTTTTGTTCACATGCACTTTTGCAAAATGGGATCATGTGCACCCACGCCACATTACTGCTTCAGAAATGGGGAGTTTGACAGGTTCGCACACCGATGTACCACATTTAGGAGGTCGCAATGTCGATATGAGAGTGCACTGCTCAGTTAATTCAAGGATTTTCAAGGATGGCGAAAAATTCCAAGACTTTCAAGGGCCTTGAATGTGCATTTTTCAAATTCAAGAGTTTTCAAGGACCTACACGAACTCTGAGATAATCTTTATAGAATTAGATAGTGCAGCATTGTAACCACAGGTGAAGTTTCACCAACATTACGCCTGCATGGGGTCTTTTTCCTAAGCAGATCCAAGACCTGGCCAGGCCTGTGGTAAAATAGTTCCTGCTGGGACCCCGATACTTGTTTGCATTCGTTGTGCCAACGCTGCCGATGTCACTTTTTTCTAAATGCTTTTGTGTTGAAATGACTAATGCCTGTTCTTGCTTTTCCAGGGTAGATAAACGCTGTCAATAACCTGTGGCACATACTCGCAAACTTGTGGCACATACCTGTCCGTGGTATACAGGTATATGCCGCACGTGTCTGGTGGAAGAGGTTCGATACTGTACCCGATGGGATTGTCACATTATTCATGTCATGACCAGCGAGTCAGATTTATCAAACCATTCCCAAACCATACCAAATTTGCTTTACCACAAGCTAACGGGGGTGATCATGAGAGCACCCAGATGTAGGCGGCGAGATAGTACAGTCGAATCTCATTAATTCGAACACGCTTAATTCAAACTTCCAGGTAATTCAAACTCCCGTTGAGGTCCGGTCAAAGCTATGTCTATTCCAAAGGGCGAAAACGCCCTGTAATTCCAATGCACAAGCACTTGCAACGGTTAATTCGAACATACCGCGCTTCAAAAATGCTCTCAGCATCAAGCCCAATCCAGTGGCGACACCTCCGACACCTAACGATGCGCACGAAGGAAAAGAAAAGGAAAAAAAGAAAAAGCAGTGGTGGAATTTTTGCACTCTCTCAGATGCTGATCTGCGATGCAGCTGTGCCTTTTCCGTGCCTTTTTTGACCCTGCCACGTAGAGACCCTTCTCCTTTCAATGCCGTGCGCGAGGAGAAAGAGGAAAAAAAAAAAGAAAGCTGTTGCAGAGTGTTGGCTCTCTCACGTGCCAGTGCCACACTTCCTCCTTTCCCGTCTCTGCCTCGTAGACCCTTCTCCATTCAACGACGCACACGAAGAGAGCAAAAAAAAATCTGCTGTGGAGTGTTGGTTCTCTCTCAAATGCCGAACTGCTTCTCTCCGCGTGGGATATTCCTCTTTTCTCGTCACGTGCTAGTCAGGGCTACAGCTGATAGTAGCAACAGAGAAGCAGTCGTTGTCGTCGTCTTTAGAGAGTGTCGGCGCTGGACAATGCCGCGCGCAACTTCTCTTGCCAGGAGAATGCTGAAGCCAAAGTAGAAATGCTTTGCAAGCTGTGTGCGAAATTGATTGACTCGCTGCAAGGCAAACATGTGCAGACACGGATCACCAAATACTTGAATTAATGACGGATTTCTTATGATTTGTGAATAAATATGTCTTCTGAAACTTCCCCCTCGTGTGTTAGCTCAATGCACATGCGCCACTGCATGGTGAGCCTTTGTTCCATTAGCATTCATTAATTTGAACTTCTTTTAAATCAAACAAACTTTTGGGCCCCTTAGAGTTCGAAGTATAGAGATTCAACTGTACGTAGATAGACACGCTAAAAATGCCTGCAGTAGGCAAAGAAATTATTCCTATTTAAAAGCAAAGCAAATAATAGGGGGGGGGGGGGGGGTGCACACACTTTTTGTGAGGGTCTCGCCTATCTTAAACCTTCTAGATTACAGATCCTTGATATAGGCCGCACCTGTTTGACAGGCGAGGCGTATAACAAGGATCTGCAACGATGACAATGACTATGTTTACGACTAGAGAAGCTTTAGAAAAAACTTTAGTTGAAACAAACTACCCACCAGATTTACTAAAGAAAGCATACAATGAAGTGTACAAATCGAAGAGAAAAAAAGCACTAGCAAAAAAAAATAAAAGCCTAAAGCACAGCCCAACCAGCCACTAGCATTAAATGATGAAACACTACTCAATTACACTTGCAAAGAGAAATACTACTCTTCGTAAGTATTATCCAATATTAGCAAGCAACAAGTGCCTCAGAAAAGTCTTAAGTACTAAGGGCTATCATTGACATTGCAGAAACTTTAGGGACATATTAGTGCATGTAAAAGTAAATCCTCAGTCTACTGCCCACATAGCTGCTTGTTCATCCGGGATGTAAGACTTGTAAGTGCCTTCAAGAGGATATGAAGGGTCCAACTTACCGCTCTCATATAAAATCTAGTTTAGACGGCACTAGCTCAAACGTTATTAACAAGTTCGAATGTTCATTCTCCCAGAAAGTACAGTGGCAAAACAGGACCACGTGCTAATATTAAACAGTCATAGTGCAGACATGGAGAAGAAATTCACAAAAGCAGCGATACAGCACTGTAATGTGGCAGGCAACAACATCAACGAGCTCAAATCTTGCGTATTTCATTAAAACTCCTGGTCTGCGAAAGGCTGGAAATATGAAGACCCATTTCTTATTCCTACATGTAATTGAGTCTGGACAATAGGCATAAAGATTCCGAATGGGGCCCTTGAATCTATTTGATATGGTAGATACCAAATGAAAACCAGTGAGACTTATTTAGTTTCTCACGAAAGAATTTCCGACTTCAAACCATTCCAATTACTACCATGAAACTTATTTTTAGCTGGTGCTTATGACATTTGTGTTTCAGCAGAATGCACCCCAACCTTTTATCCTTTTCACGCTGACAGAAACCCCAAGGAGTGAAGAGCAGTGGAGGAGCATAAGCCCCTCCTCTGACCCTAAACCCTTGATTTTTCTCTCTCTCTTTTTATTGGCGTGCTGACCCTTTATTGACTCAATTCAGCAAGTCAGCTTGTCTCAATATCCCTTCTGTAATTTGTATTAGCCCCCGCCCCCTCTTTTCACACTTGCCCTCCTTTCTTTCTTGCTTTGGAAAGAGTGTATGAAATATATGCATACACACACTAAGGTTAGGTCTTGCTGGCTTGAAGGAGATAAAGACAACTTCTTTAAACATTGCCACTAGCAAGTTCAAGGAATTTGTATCTCTTCAAGTATCTCTCTACATCATAAGCGTGTGCACGGAGAAAAGGAGGGAAGAGCAGAAGTCCCCCTCCCTTCCCTCTGGTCACCCAAGAAGAGGATGGGTGGAAAATCTGCCCCATACATTGACTTGAAAGGAGATGGGGGCGCTGTAATGGACCTTCGAACAGCCGGCTACCTACAACATTCTAATCCTAAAAAAGTAATAGACCTTCGCACCCCCTGCAGGAGAACACTATGCAAGTGTGTGCTCTACATCAATAATCACTAGGATGTTAATAAAGAATTAGACATTCGGGCAAGTGACCTCACCTCTCCATACATGTCTAGCCGATTGACCTTCAAGCCAGACACTGCCAGGGGGTTGATAGTGAAGTGCACCTGCAACAAGATAAAATGAAAAAGAGAACCCTTCAAACTTTTTCTTGGGCCACATACTTTAAAGAAAGGATTGAAGTGCTCACAATCAGAAAAACTTAATCCTGCCCAAGATACGGGCTTATATCATGAGCCCCTGGCCTGCATACCGCAGTCAAATACATCTAAAGACGATACCCTGAGCTCAGATGTAGTGACATAAAAATTAGGAAATGACAAATTCTGACATTTTATTTATTTTTATTTTACTTGTTTTCAATATGCACCTTATCAGGCTGTTACAGGGTGGGACAGTTTACAATACAAAAAAGTAAATGCAAATAGCATAAGAATATACAAACAGCATAGCACAAACAGCACAATGCAAACTAAAAAAAGAAAAAAGAAAAACAGGTATACACAGTGCGTAAGATTATATACAAAACAACAGCAGTGCAATTACACATAATGAAAATTTAAATATTATACACCCAGTGACTTAAGTTTTTCGTCGAAACTATAGACCAAAATTACACCATCAAATATTTCCAGGCTCAATTTATTCCAGTGTTCCATTGTTTTGGTCAAGAAAGATGTTTTAGATGTTGTGAAGCTACGTTTTTAACACTTTTGACCAGGCTAATGCTGCTATGAATAAAAAAAAACAATGCTTTGCTACACATTGCTCAGACATGCAAGGCTAATAATTGTTGGGTTTTAAAGGCCAACTCCTGTGATTCTTTGACGATGTCAGAATAATGTTTCAATGTTCCTGAGCCACTCTTGTCACGCGCTCAATAGCTGAAATGCTCAACAAATTCAAAAATTATTTTTAATTGGCGAAAAACAGCCCTATCGAAACTGAAACCCACCTACGTGTGCTTCTACGAGTGACGTAATCCTTTGCCCGAAGCTGCACTTGATCGCGCATAATGCCCGCCAGATGGCACTACTTGTCCAACCCGTCTGCAGCGATCAGCTAAAACGCTCACGCTGTTATGATGAATATATGGCAAAAGGTGTGTGGCTCACAACGCAACACAACTTGCCACCTATCGCACACCCACCAACACGGAAATCGCACGCTTAACCAAAGAAGCGCCGACCAAACCTACACAATCCTTAGCAGACAAGCAGACGCTGCAGTGGCACATCAATTTCGTCACTTCCGCCAGGCAAAACTCAACGTCACACCATGAATTTTAGCAAGCGAGGCGAGCGTTTCGAGGCAAGCTATAAAATTCATTTGACTCTCATGCCTGCAATTCAGCATGAATGGCATAAACTTGCAAATGAACGTACCCAGTGAATTTTATTGAGATCCACTGACCTCGAAAAATTGCTGGAGTTGGCCTTTAACGTCCCAAAACCGCAACATAATTATTATGATCGTCGTAGTGAAGGGCTCTCAAAATTTCAACCACCTGGGGTTCTTTTAATGTGCACTTATATCTATTAAATACATGGGTCTCTAGCATTTCACCTCCATCGAAATCAACCCAATAGTACCACAACCTTTGGGTCATCAGTCAAGCACCACTAGACCGAAATGGCAGATTAGACATGCAGCACTAAATTAACGGACCTAAATCGCAAGTAAATAATAGAATTCCAGCTGTGACCTACAGTTTGGCAGGTACAGATTTTTTTTCTGTAGAGCCAAAGCGAATTTTGTAGAGAGCCAATAACAGTATAAGCATACAGATCAAAGTCAAATTTACATCACAGGTCCTGCTGAACAGGTTTAAAGCTGCTTGCTCTCACCGTAATTGTCGGGTTAGCATCAGGAGGTGGAGCACCAGCCTGCAGGGCCATCTGGATGTGCAGAAAAGCAGATAAGAATGTAACATCTGTACATAGACACGAAGAGGAAGAACAAGCTACTACAGATGTATCCGTGCATTGACAACAACCGTTCTCACACTTGGCAGTAAACACCAAGATGATTACACCACACAGGAAAACTTGCAACACAAAGTTGTTTTGGCTGACTGGTCAACCTTTTACGAAAAAACGACAAGGCCTGCTTGTCAAACACCGTTTTTCACATAGGCCTGATAACCACAGGAGCTTCAGTGATGGTTCACATTTCTTCTAGACAATGTGCACATATTTTGTGATTGTTGGTACTATATAATATCAGATAATGCAAGAAGCTACTGAAGAGTAAGACTGAGAGAGCAGACTGTTTGTTTTGTTTTGTTTTTTACTAACCATCTATTTCAGGATGGCACATTTGGTGCGAGTGGATGCTTTGAGTTGTGCCGGAAAGAAAACAAAATTTGGGGAAACTGGGTGTTCAACCCCTTTTAAGTGAGAATGATGTTATACTGGCCATGGGTGAGGCTGTCAATACGAGAGTTACTGATGCAAAAATCATAAAAACTTTCAAGAATGGTCAAACAGTTCTGTAGCAGTAATATCTTTAAAAAGTAAAGCACAAATGTAAACATTGTCTGCTCCATCAATGTGGCTGCACATGCAGCTTGTGCAGTGCAAGAAAATGCCATGAATTAGTTGATTTCTAGGGGTGTGCGATCAGTATTCAAACTTACGGGTATTTGTTGACTACAGTTTGCTACTCAATTCAATTTACACTGGAATTTTAAAATCGATGTGTTTGAACTTCCCGAAAACAAGTACAGTCCACATCCGATTGACAATGACCCTTCGAAATTTTTGTTTATATGTTTCACCCCACCACATTCTTACATTGTGGCAAAGCTGCCTTTCAAACTTCAATATGGTTGCAAATGTGGCGATTCAAGAAACCGCTGTTTCCAACATGCAGATGCACTGCACCACTACAGTAGCCGCTTCATATCTTTTTTTTTTTAAAGATAATAGTCTTTCTTGGGGACCTTCGAGACAAAAATTTTAGTCTGTCTGTCTGTACATTTGTCTGTTTGTCTACTCTTAACATCACCGAGTACTTGAAACCGCTGACCCCATCCGCAGCACCCACCAATGTTGCTCAAGGTTTAGCGTTCATACTTGTGAAATTGTGAATTAAAAAGCAATTATTGCGCATGTCTGGGGCACCATAACAACACGTATATAGTCTGCATGTGTTTTATTAGAAAAGGCATACATAAGTAAATTTAAGGACCATAGCGCTTATCATGCTGTACTGACCATGCAACGCTTACACAAAAAGGCAAGTGTTTGCAACGCTTTGCTAAGATGAGATGGTGGTGGCACCTACCCGTGGCCTTGCGTTCTACACTTTATCACCTCTGAGATGGGCGCGCACACCCATCTCAGAGCCACGCACTTTGTTTTCCAAGAAAACTGCCAGATGGCGCTCATGTTTCACGTGTGCGTGATTTTATGCACTCGTTTGCTTCTGCTGGACACTTGAGTCACTCTAACGCAGCACCTCGAAAATACCATTCATAGATTTTCTTGCACAGAACATCAAATAAATGTTTTGTTCACTCTCTCCACACGCAAGTCTTTCAATGACATTTGCAGATTAACATGCAGATACGGGGCCAATTTTGTCTCTCATTTACCGCTTCACACACTGGTATTCAAGCAAAGCTGCATTTATGGCTCTGCTACAGTCGTAAATGGATCGACTCGCAAAAAGCTGCTTCGAACCTACGCAGCAGACGACCAGGGGGCTTTAATTAAATGTCCTTTCAGACCAGAAAATCCGAAAAAAATCGGAAAATATCTTTCAGCATCCGAAATCTCAAATCTTTTAATACATTGACGTCTATAGGGCAGATTACCAACTCCAAAATTGAAGGCAGCATGCAGCTTAACAAATCAGTTGGGCCTTCATAGAAGTTGAAGAGGGTGGTGGAGGAAATAACTTTTCCTTTCACATGTAAAGCCTTGTCGACACCCGATTGGTTGCACCAAATGATGCAATTAAATAAGTACACCTCAGTGTCTGCCTTGCCTCATCCTTGATAAAATAACTAGAAAACACCATCCCTCGAGCATTTCATGAACCCACCCGAAGGAAACACTTTCATGTTTCTATCTCATAAGAATGTGCTTAGAGATCCTCTGCAACATTTTTTTCTGTAATATACACTATCACCAAATCAAACCTGAAAGGAGCAGGAAAATATATTCTATTTAACAGAAGTTTTGTTAACTGAAAGATCAACAGGCGTGCAAAATACAAGCACTAAACCAAACATATCGGAGACAGTTGTTACATTTAAACAGCTATTTCGTTGAACAGATTTCCATTTACTCAGAGTCTATTGCAATTTGACTTCGAAGTACTAAAAAAACATTAAACAAATATTCCACAACTATCTGAAAAATATTGGATACGATTCGCACTCAAACTTTAATACTCCAATTTGCTTCTCACCCAAAATTTTGCTATTCGCACAGCTCTATTTCTTTCTCCAACAATAAGTAGCGAGACAATCCGCAGACCTTCACGGTTTTAACCGATGCCGTGTTCAAACTCTTACACATGGGGCCTACGGAGAGTTTTGAAAATCGTATGATTGATGAACCCTACAGTAGAAGAGCACTGAAAAAAAGGTGGTCTACAGCACAACTGCCCTAGGCAACCAAAACATTTTCTAAGTGAACCAAGGGCACTCACCGATCCACGAAGGTTGGGCAGCCTCCCTGGCTCGATGCGCCCCACTTCCCAGATGAGGTTCTTGGAGACTGGGTCGAAGCTGTGCTTACCCTGGCTCGCCGTCAGCGTCACATTGAGCACCGTTTTGCACAGAGGCACCTCCAAGATCACTTCATCAACCTGCAATCATTGTCCCACAACCGATCTGATAAAAAGAACAAAACAAAATGCTACTGCTTCATCACAATGCCCCACTCAGTTCACTCAATTTGCTTCATTAATATAGAGCAGACAAATGTTAAGAACTGAGAACACCAACGCTCTATACCCCTCTCTTCCATGAAAGGGTATCGGAGTGCTTTAGTTCCTCTAGAGACAGTTTTTAAGCCGACCGAGGTTTCAGCTTAAATTGAGGCGCAATGAGACACTATTACTGTAACCTGATCAACAAGATGACTGTGCAGGGTCTTTCTCCAAAACAATTTCGAACACTGGTGTGGCTGTGTGGGACTGCAACGCAGTGCCTAGAGTCAAAATTCCTACTCATATCCACATTTTTATTCTTCACATTCATCCGGACCTTTCACTCACAGACAACACTGTCAACACTGAACTTACTGCAACACCAGCTCTTAAACACTCTCACATTAAAATGAGAAATGTACTCTAATTAGGGAGCACTAATTAGGGATGTGCTAATGTTTGAAATTTTGAATTCATATAGGATACTTCCTTCTTTCAAAGCATATATGGGATAATAATAACAATATCAGCGGTTTTACATCCAAAAACCTCTATATGATTATGAGAGACGCCGTAGTAGAGGGCTATGGAAATTTTTAAAGCATATTGAATACGAAAAATGTAATTTTCATGTTTTTAGATGTTCGGTACCGGCAGCAAATATTCAAAAAACCTTCAAATATTAGAAGAAAATCACAAAACACTCGAATGGGATAGACTATCCTTAGTACTGCTATGTCACAGTACCAGTATTCACCATAGAAATTTCAATCATGGTGGAGAAAATAAGGTGAATCATGTAATAAATTGGCACAGGCTGTTTATGCTAGGTTGTGCTGCAAGCATGCATAGTTGTAAGCGCATCTGGTGTAGTCATTCCAGTCATTCACAGGCTACGGTCTGTAGGGGCAAGAACAGTGGGAGAGCAAGACATGAATGTGAGTTGTGATCAAAGGGTTCTAACACTCCTAGTCTTTGTTCTCCTCACCCTTTTTGGTTGGCCACGGCTTGCTGGCTCAGAACACCAGGTGGCATTATCCCCCTCTCAATCGAACATCCATTCGATGCTCACACATAGTGAATATGCTTGTGAAAGACAATGTGCTGCGTGGTCAGCGGTGAGAAAAAAATGGCGCTGTTCTTTGGTGAACTAACTGACAGCCCCAAAGAAAACATCAAAAAGTTTGCTGCACGGGCACAATAAGAGGAGTATCACATATTTTAGGCGGCCGACATGCATAATCTCTGTGCGTGGTGAGCGACACTGGGAGATCGCTGAGCCCCCATCAGGAATAACTTCATAGTTAACCTTGTTCAAGTACCGTAGTACTTTGTAGGGTTCAAAGTAAAGTCGAACACGGATATATAAAACTCGAAGGGGATAGCGAATGAGTTCGATATATTTAAAATTCAATATAAGAAAATAGAGGCCCTGAGAACTTGACTGTAGCGGATCATCACCTAGAATAGGTGCATTGAAGAATAACAACTTATTCCGCACACACACCGTAACAGAATGATTTATTTGCATGAACAAAAAAATCGCTAACCTTGGCCTGCTTCGTTTTGGAAATGTTCAAGACGCTAGTCTCGATCTTATCACAACTCGTGAAATGTGTTGTCTATGCGCTCATCGTCGTCTTCACCGGTTTCCGCAATGACGTATTAAAGCCTGCCTTGCAGAAGCAGTTTACCACTGTGTCCATCTTCACGTCTCGTCAGGCATTGAAGATCTCCCGCGGGAGAAAACTTCGTGGAGAATTCCGGCCACTCCTTCGTCATCCACTGCTGGACATCCTTGCTTCTGGCAGTTTCGCTTTCGCCAGAAATGGTCTTGCCAATGATGTTGTAGTGTTGCTTAAATCGGTGAAGCTGCCCGCTGTTGTTGGCAAATTTGTTTCACTGAGTACAGCGGCAAACCATTTGGCCTTGCCGATCAGCATCGGGCCATCTACCGGAATGTTCTTCGCGCCCAGTTCTAGAAACCAGGCAGTGCCTTTTCTACGTTCCCATGGGCAGAAGCGTGCCCATGACAGGCTCTTCGGGTTTGCTGTTCCGCCGCCTTTGCCTTGATATCTGCCTTGTTTTTCAACAAGGTACTCAGAGTGCTCCGTGGTATCCCGAAGTCGTCCGCAACGATCAAACACTTCTCGTCTGCCTCAACACGCCTTCAATTTCGTAGCGAAGTAAAGGGTCTTGCGCTTCTTGACCCTGGCCATAGGTACACGAAAAGTCGACAATTCAAGAAATCCGCAGCGGCTTTGCACACCACGCATGCAAGAGAGAAATGCTGCACATGGTATGTAGACGACCCGACAGCTCTAGAGCAACAAAGTGCTCGTGAGGCGATGGCTACCTGCGAGAGCAACAGCAAAAGGTGCAAGCTGTGGTTGGCTGATTATACCTCGCAAAACAGCAACGAAAAATGAAAGAAAAGGCGTAAAGAGGAGGACGTTGCTCCTTTATCCCTGCTCTCCAAGCCGACGCGTACGCAGAGAAAGCATGAGAGAGAGAAAGAAAAAAAAACCGTTTCGCAAGTTGGAGATAGCGCCCCTCTCGCCCTTACTTTTTTTCAAGCATTTCGGGTTCTGGCAGAGGCGCGGTGCTGCACGAAGGTCAATGGGCGCTGCTGTGAGTGCTAAAAACACTCCTTCAAACTCGCGCGTGGAGCCGCGCTGTTGTGGAGATCGCGGGGAGAGAGGGGAAGGGGCAAGTGCGAAGCGCACCTTCTAGCTCGCGCGGCGTTCGACATATTTAAAGGCGGGTAAAAATTTCGTTCAATACAAACGTGCAAATTTAAAAAGGAATTTCAAGGGGATAACTTGCGAGTTCGATATGCCCGAAAATTCAATATATGTGGGTTCGATAGAACCGTATTCGACTGTACTTGTGGAGCAGTTTCACGCTGAGATCTCGCTGTCTAATCGGAGTCCAAACCTAAACTTGGTCACCAGGTTTATAGGTAACTTGTCGATGATGGAAACTGCACCTTCGTGCATCTGCACACTGCTGCATTCTTTTGTGCATGTGGGCTAGTTGATGCACTTCCTCTACACGCTGAATGTAATCATCGACGTCAGGAGCTAAGTTCTCGTGCTAGTCAATGCCATAAAGAATCACAGCTTCTAGCATGGTTTGACCTTCTCGAGCATAAACAAGGCAGAATCTTGTCCTTTTCGGCGTTACAGTGTTGGACAAAATTGTTACGTACGACAGGATTTCGTCCCACGTTTGATGCTGTACATCCACATACAAAGGAATCATGCCCACCAGCGTTTTGTTGAACCTTTCTGTCAACTGGTTAGTCTTGGCGTGGTATACGGTGGTCTTACGGTGGTTTGTGTAACTGAACTTGAAGATGTCGTCCAAAAGCTTTGCCATCAATGCTGTCCCTCAATCAGAGATGATGAATGACAGGGTGCCGTGACAAGGAACAATGTGGTGCATAAAAAACTGTGCACATTTGGATGCTGTTCTGCGTGGCAATGACTTTGTCTCAGCATAATACATTAAATAATCAGTTGCATTGATAATTCATTTGTTTCCGAAGTAAGACAAAGGAAACAATCCAAGGAGGTCCATCCCAACCTCAATCAACAATGTGCGTAGTGGGTAGGTGGATTGTAGAAGGCCTGCAGTATCTTGTGACCATGACAATAGCAGCATCGTTTCACGTAGCACTTAACGCAAGCTGCCTGTTAAGGCCAGAAATATAAATAGATTGTCTGTGAGCAGCCCAGATGGCCAAATGTCAGCTTGTTTTGACAGGCTAATAGGATATCATTGCTAAGACCTTGTAGAATCACTAGATGATATTTACAGCCGACACTGGTGTTTTTCTTGTATAATATGCCCTCTCGTAAGCAAAATGAGAGTAACGTACGTGAAGTTGGATGAGGGTTTGACGCGGTACTGGCTTCTGAATGATCGATGATGTGCTTTAACACAGGGTTTATTCGTTTTTAGTTATCAGATCTACCCCACTGAATGTCCCCAGGAAGGCGCTGTCATCTTCTGCAGCTGTAATGTCAAATTCGAGAAGTGCTCGTGGTAGCGTGTTGCTGTCTTCACACTTTCTACCCGACTTGTATACGATGGTAACATCAAATTCCTGAAGTCGCAGGCTCCATCTTGCTTTAAAAGGGTTGACTGCTGGTCGAGTCGGTATTTTGACATAGAAGCCATTGTGAGTAGCGCAGCTAAACAGGACACACAGGAAGAAACAGACAAGCAAAGGTGCCCACTAACAACTGATTTTATTGAAGGTAGATTTACACCTTTATACACCAACAAGCAGTGCAGGTGTACCATCACAACAACCGATATAAATTTAAAGAAACCAAACAAGGCGCAAAAGAAACTGAATTTCAGTACTGTACTGCACAACTACTTGCTCTTCACCAGCTTTCCCAATAAAATAGCTTTCAACTTTTCGCGAGTTATTTTTGTCTACTTCTACCTAAGATTCTTGCAAATCAGAATCACAGTTCACAATGCGAGCATACTATGCAGTAGTCAACAAGGTGACTTCTCTTCGTATGATTCAGATTTCTTTTGTGTTCCCTGAGTCTGTCATTGAGGCAGCCCCCGCCTGGCCGATGTAGACTTTGTTGCATGACAGGAGAATCTTGTACACTATGTTGTGGACACACTTAATAAAAAAGTTTTGTTAAAGGGACTGTCTACTGTCCGTCGTTGCTCTTCTGTTTTGTGTTGCAATAAAAAGCATACCATGTGAAGTGTCGAACCTTGCAGCTGTTTCTCTGGAAAAGGCATAAAAATTTTTAAAACAGAATTTTTCTGTCCGCGTTGGTCTCTTTTCATTGGTGGGATGAATGCCCACAACACTGGTCGGTGCCGTAAAGTCGAAAACTGAAACCGTGTGTAGTTTTTGCAGGCTTCATCAAGTTTGGTTATTATTAAAACAAATATCTTAG